ACACAACGAGTGCTCCAGTCCTTGATCATGGCGACAAACGTCCAACTGGTCGTACAGGGCTTCTTTGACCGGTCGTAAAGGGCTTCTTAGACCGGTCGTACAGGGCTTCTTGGAGGTCAGGAGGAGGCTGCTGCGGTCCCAGCCAAAAAGCGCCGGGGTTCGAGCGCGTTGAGAGCAATGGCTCTTCTTTTTCAGTCTGTGCAATAGATGGATCTTAAGATTTCTGATCGGCATTAGACTCGCTGTTCACTGTACTTCTTCTGATTCTGATTCTGATTCTGATTCTGATTCTGATTCTTCTCCTGCTTCTTCTAATCCTTCTCCTTATTCTTGGTGTTTTCACTGTACTTCTTCTTCTTCTTCTTCTTCTTCTTCTTCTTCTGATTCTGATTCTGATTCTGATTCTGATTCTTCTCCTGCTTCTTCTCCTGCTTCTTTTAATCCTTCTTCTTATTCTTGGTGTTTCCTTTTTTTTTGCCATCTGCACCATTTTTCAGTCTGTGAAATAGATGGATCTTAAGATTTCTGATGATCGGCGTTGGCCTCGCTGTTCACTGTGCTTCTTCTTCTTCTTCTTCTTCTTCTTCTTCTGCTGCTGCTGCTGCTGCTGCTGCTTCTACTCCTTATTCTTGGTGTTTCCGTTTTTTTTGCAATCTGCACCGTTTCTCGGTTCACGCGTCTAAATTCCTTGCGCAGAGGTCAAGCTAATCTTCTCTGCATCGTTCCAAGTTTAACGGATGTCCAGAGGAACTTCTTCTTCACACGTATCTCAGACTTGTGCATCCTTCTGCTCTTCCTGTTCCTCCTCCTCCTCCTCCTCCGCTCTGCACCCTTTTCCACATCGTCTTCACTTTTCTTCACCGACCTCCCTCCTTGTCCCCCTCTATGCAGGCTTCCCAATACAATGATGAGAGAGCAGGTACCACCTAGCAGACGCCTGGAGCCGACGACATACCTATCTCCGACTCCATGTGTTTCATCAACACTTCTCTTTTCCCGTTGCACTCTTCTCCACCCTTGACCTTGAGATGGAGAAGAAGAAGAAAGATGAGGAGGAGGGACCATGGCAACAGAAAACAGAAAGCGAAAAGGGGATCGATAAAGAGAAAAATCAACGAAAACCCTTGACCTTGAGATGGAGAAGAAG